CACCGCGGGGGCAGCTTGCTGGAGCAATCGTGACTCGTTACTCGAGCACCAGGGTTGCTGGCACAGCAGTCCCTTTGCTGGCAGAAACCTTCGCAGCCCAGAAGCTTTAGGTACAGGGTAGCTCCCCCCAGGAAACAACATCATCTCCCACCCCACTGCAACCAGTGCGGCTCAGGACAAGACCCCACGTGGACGTAGGCAGACTAGGAGAGCAAAAAGATGCCATGCAACCATGTTTTGTGCTTTTCTTCCCTCGCCGCCCCTCGAGGACGTGCCAGACAAGTGACCTTACCAGCTATAGCACACGTGTAATCTTACTCTGCTGCTCCTATCAATATACGTGTTCATACGAGATCGGTTTACATGAGAGCTGGTCTCCAGCTCAGCGATCGCTCCTCTCGGAAGAGGAGGCTGCAGACAGGACTCACTGAAGGGTGATTGAGCCCCCAGGACCACCTTGCCCCAGCGAGGGGCAGCCGGTGCCCAGCAGAACTCCTTGCACAAGGTCTCCTGTTGTGCACTGCCCTCTCCCGGGCAGCGCCGGGAAGAGGGGCACCAGGGAAATCCTCCGGATCCGCAGGGGAAGGCGCAGCAGGCAGCACCTCTTCAGCTTCGTAAACCAGATTTACGAGTGCTGCATTTTAAATATCAGCATCTCCATACAACTTGTAAGGCTAACTTCAGCGTGCCGCTGTAGGACGTGTCTGCTCTCTAGTGGGGTAGAAGCAAAAGGATTAGTCCTACCCGTCTCAGCAGGACAATGTTTTGCGCTATCCAAATATTGTCCTTCCAGCATATGGAATAGAATAGCACCTAAAGATGTTCCAGTTATCAGTGATCATCTGCAGCACATACAAAAAATACTTTAATTCAAGAAACTGATCCTCAGTTGGTCTAATTCACCCCAGTTTCACTGAAATGCATTGTAACATCTGAGCATCAGAACCCACAGTATCCATCTCCAGAAACACACAGATTAGCCCATAGCCAAGGAATCAACCTGAGCATCATCCTCCCAGATCTTTCACTGCAGGACCACAAGAGGCAGCTTGGTTCATTGCGTTTGACTCGCTAAATACACAAGTAGTACACAGAAATTGGATTAAATGAGCATTTTGGAAAGCTCTTTAATCTTATGTTAAGGACTTGCGGCAACTGCAAATTCACCGTTTCCCTTGGAACCCCCTAAGGCAAAGGAATAGGCTTGTTCCAGAGCTCCCACTTCAGTTTCCAGCCTAGTGATTTTTTTTTTGAATAAAAAAAACAGGGCTTCCCCTCCTTTACTTTCATCCTGTTACTGGCAGATCACCTCTTTGAGCCTAGTGGTAAAGTCAACCTGTACGATTTGAAGGGAAGAAAAAAAAAAAACCCTCAGAGATCATATCAGTCCTTTAGCTTCCCCGCTTGCCCTCCCAGCTCTCCGATGCTGGCCGAGGGCACCCTGGCTAACAAGCAGCTCCGTAACCACATCCGCGCCGTGCAGGGGGCAGCTCCCGCACGGCCGCACGCGGGGCAGCGAGCCCAGAGCTCAAACTGATGGGCTCTGCAAGCCCCGTTTTAATGGTCCACACTGGACCATGTTCAGCACTGCTCCCACACGGAACAGGAGCTGCCGAGACACCCTGGGTGAGAGAGGGGAGGAAGACAACCACAGTCATCACTTCCTGCTGCTGCAAAAAGAGCAGGGGAGATTGGCCCTTGAGAAGTGGAATGAACCAGGAGGATCCAAAATTTGTGGATCAGGAAATCTAATACAGTCTAAATACCCACCAAGTAGGTGGGCTGCTGTAACCGAATTTCATTTATCCCCATTTCTATTTGAGCACCACCAGTTCTATATCCAATGCCCAGACAGCAAAGGAGGAGAGTCTACAACTTAGAAACCTCAAAGAAATGCAGATAAAGCAGCAGTGATTCACACACAAGGTCAGCACCTTAGCAGCAGAAATAGGTGTTTAGAAGAGGTTCTGCAGGGTGGCTGAATGTGCCTGGATTCAGAGACGCTCCACGGACACAGTTTGGGCGAGAATGCTGCCCTACAGCTTCTCCCCAACCTCCCATCACACTGAGCACTATTTTTGCAGAAGATTCTCTCCCCAGACAATTGGTACTGCAGCTCAGGCAATGCAGAAGAGCAAACTGAGCTATCATCTTGTGGCAATAGGTCCCCCAAGTTAACAAAACATCTCTAATTACAGCAATCCATCTATCATCCCCATTTAATGCTTTTCCATTTCGTTAAGTTGCTTCTTGTTCTGGTATTGTGGAAGGAAGGGGAAAACAAGTACCCAGAAGGCTTCTGCTATAACTTGTCCTCTGAGAATTTCTTCTCTTGATCTTCAGTGGTACTTATCTCTCAAAACTCTTTAAATGGAAAACAAGCTACACACTCCCCACTCTCCCCGCCATCCTGGACTTTTCTGACAGGGTTTAGTTTTGTACAACAGGAACAGAACAGGCACCATATCGACGAAAAAAGGCAAAGAGAGAAATCGGCATCTAAGATAACAATCTTTATTCCAAAAGCTCTATAACTAGAATAAAAATTCTCTGTTTTATCTCCTTTGTAGTGTTAGCCAGCTGGAAAAACAAAATTGCTGACTTATCCCAGGTTCCCCAAGCAGGTTTTTTTCCGTTAAGGAAGGGAATGGACATTGAATGCAAATAAAGAGAAAAATTCCAAGCAAGGCATGAGGAGACTGCAACTGAATCTCAGTGGGCTTCACAGTATTTCTTATTTACACAAAATCCCTGCAATTTACCCTGCAAATCTCATTCTTCATGTGATAGTCATACTTTCAACAGTAATCAGCACCTTTGTAAAGAGACCAAATATGCAGGGAAGGAAGATATTCCTAATTTATTTCACTACTGAAGAGCTCCAAAAAGCCCTCAAATCAATCCAGCCTTGTCTCATTCAGATGGGATTCCTTCCTGGAAACAGCACCAGAGAAGTTTGGGTTTGTCCTTAACTACTCTAAACAATTTTGATTTCCTTCAGATGGATCTGAAGGATTGCCTTTCTTTCCAGCTGCCCTAGAGACACAGCAGCAGGACGGGGCACAAGCGCCCATGCTTGCTGGGGATCAGAATTGCTTCATTCCTCTGTCCTAGGGAAGGACAAACCCAGAAATTCTGCTAGCTCAAGACAGGCCTCTAGGCCACTGATGAGGAGAACCTGCTCATTTTGCAGTGAAGCAGGACTCTGAATAGCCTCAGTAATTAACTGCCTGCTCCTTGGTGCCTGTAGACTCATTACCCTCTTTTATTCAAGCAGCAGCCTTGAGCATGGACAAGAACATATGCATATATATTTTTTTTGGAAAGAGCTGAACAGGAGCTGTCTTCACAGGTCAAGGAGCTGCGCTCCAGCATCCGCAGCCAAAGGCATCTTGGCCCCGAGAGCGACTCTGCCCTTCCTGCAGCCCCGTGGGGAGAAGTGGAGAAAGCAGCAAAGATGCTCCCTGCCTCACAAAACAGACAGGCTCGGGCAGAGTTAACTCCATCCATTCTCCTGCAGCAAATGATTTTAAGGAATTTCTGTCCATGCTGCTATGCCAGGTCATCTCTCAACACGAAAGGCACCGAACGAGTTTCCTTGGGAACAGTAACCATGGCAAAGCTCTTGCCAGTGGCTTCCCCTCTACCCGCAGGATGAAGCAGATGTCTGAGTTGCCTCCAAAAGGCCACAGGTATCCACAGCTCTACCCAGCCCAGAACCTCCCCGGTCATAAATTCAGCTCCCGATTCCTTGGTCCTGTGTCGGATACGCAGCGTTTTGGCCAGGCTGCCCTCAGCTGGGAACGCTGCCCTGGAAAGGAGGCGACGCAAACAGCATTGCCGGCAGCTCAGCCCGGTGCCTCGGGGCCAGGCAGGCAGAGGGCCCCTAGGTTAGGGCGAACGGCCCAAAGCAGCAGCCGGTTTGGGGCTTCTCACACCCGCGCACGCTGCGTTACAGCTCTGTTGGAGCCAGCATCTGCAAACTCCATTTTACTGCAAGCAGCAGCTGCCAGGAGATTGCCTGCTTCTGGCCCACGTCTTTTTCTGCAGCCTCTTCCCCGTTTTCTACACTGCATGCAACTCCGAAATACATATTTCCACATATGATTCACCAAGGAGGAACTGAAGCCATTTGCAACTTCAGTTCATGGCCATTTTAAAAAAGTCTCGCTGAAAAACTAATCAAATCATAATAAACAACTCAGTGGAGGGTACAATCATATTGCATGCTTTGAGGTTTGCTGTGTACAAGCAAATGCTCTGCTTGTGGATTTGAGCTTTGCTAAGCATTCATCCAAATTAACAGAGCAACTGAAACCAAAGGGCTCCTTGGTTAACCTTTCTCCAGCAACAAACTGAGACAGAACTGTTCTGCTTTGGCTACCTCAACATGTGATTAAATAGTTAACACCCTTCAGAGTTTACGTGCAGTTGACAAAATCCATCAGCATCTTACACTAGCAACCCAAAACACCATCCTGCACATCTGCCTCCCACCGGGCACAAACACCTGGGCAGGCCAAGCTCCTTTTGTGGGTAGGATGAAATGAAACCTGAGTGAAACCAGCAGCTTTTCAACAGGGAGGATTTTGACCTTTTGCTTTGTAATTTAACAGCATGGGGTGGCAGGATCAATTGGGTCATGAAACCCCATGCTCCATCTCCTTGCACAGGTATTATATGCACAATAAATACCTGCCCCGGACACATATACAGAAATCTCAGTGTCAACATCCTTGTGAAACAAACATCCAAGTCCAGCACTCCCTTTTAACCTCCCCTAGGTTAAATCACTGCAAATATCCCAGAAATACACAGTCAAGTCAAATGCAGGCATACTGGAGTTAAGATCCCAGCCCAGGCAGTTCCCTTTAAATTATTTACACCACTGGCTCCCTAAAGAAAACATTAGAAAAGCAGGTGCTTTGCAGGTCTCCGAGGAACACAATGCAGCCACCACTAAGAAAAGATGCTCTTGCTGTTAAAGATGCTGCACATACCTTTCTTTGCCATGCTCTCCAGTTTAATGCACCTTCCTATAAAATCGTGGTAAGATTTCATTTCTCCTTCTGTTATTCGGACGCCAGTGAAGGGTGGATTCCTGGGCACCTGTTGTCCACATTTCCGACACCAAGAAGCCATTGCCGGAGCTCGGGAGAGTCTTGTCAGGAATCTGCTCTCTCACTCGGTCCGCTGGAATCCAGCCTGGTTCTTCAGCCGTCACTCCAGGCTGGTGACTTTATCCCACCTAGTTCATTCAAGGTCACTGTCGCCAGCGGGATGCTTGCCATTGCAATCAGCTAAGACTTTTATAGGCTTATGACTGTGTTTGTTTTCCCTCCTTGCTCTCAATATCGCTTTACTTTATTCTCTCATTCAGAACTAAAGCTGTAAACCCAGGCACAAGCCCATGCCCTTCTTTACCAGCAGTTTAAAGCTGTTTTATAAGCCAGGATGAGGCGAGAGGATCCCAGACGCACGCTATAAGTCACAGGATGTCTCTTAAGGGAATGTCAGACATGGTCACAAAGAATTTTGCTTTAAAAAAGTCTTCCTTCATGATTTATAACCCCTTCCTTTTCAGGTTTGCAGTCCTATGATTCTTCATTATTGACACCAGGCTTTTTACCTTTGCATTTCAGCTTGAGCAGTGCAAGGAGACGGCTCTGCAGAGCAGCTCAGCTAATTCCCCACGTGTCTGGCAGGGCTGCTGAGAGCTGCCGCGGAGCAGGAGCGCCCTGTGCCGCCGTGCTGGTCCCGGCTCAACGTCTGATGATTTAAAGGACAAGCAGCAAACGGAGGACAGGAGGGAGGCATTACTCACAGGCATGCTCTGCTAGCTGTGCGGCAGCCACCACCATCTCTCCCTCTCCCACAAATCTAATACAATTGGATCCTTCACTTCGCACCAAAATCAGTGAACATATTTAGAAGTCTCTCTTCAAAGGTGCTGGGTATTCATTTGGGTTGAGTTTTTTCCCCCTTTCTCTACTCCCATAATAAATGGCACTGAGCAGAGCTTTGGGAAGAGGTGGTATTTGGGGATATGAGTGCAAAGTGGGCTTGGGCCTGGGGCCCTGAAATAGAGAGGGTCCCGCTGGGCAGGGATAGGAGGAGATGCACAAAGAGGCCCAGGGCCAGCACAGGTGACAAAGGTGACAAACCAGGGTTAAGCTGCAACAAGACCACAAGGACCTGCATGCAGAACAAGCCTCCCCCGTGGCTTTCTTGGCCAGCCAGGAGAGACTTAGCTGGTTAGTTAGAGGTTTCTTCTACCTCAAACACTCCTGAGTCACTATTCCACATAGTTGCAGCTGGCGTTGTTCCCTTGCCCGAGGTTTCCCTTTGGCATGACGTTTATCACGTTTCTGTCCTTTGCCTGTAAGGGGGAACAGCTTGCAAGGTGAGAGGGGACCCAACGCATTGGTATCTGTAAAACATTTATTGGAGCTTCCATAGGGAAATTGCCAGCAGACTGAAGTATTCTACAGATGTGGAAAATAGTGGTGCAGATGTCTGCAAAATATTGCACTATGAGCAAAGAAAACAGGAAATGGGGCCTGGTGGTTTTAGCTTAAAGTCTTTCTGACCTCTTCACATTCAGGGGCTCAGGATGTCCTTCCACACACAGGAAAACACAATCCACCTTGGAAAATAAGCTTCTCTCTGCTTACATGCTGCGTGCACACACAGAATATCAGCACTTCAGCCTCGCATACATACAGCGAGGGGGAGTCGTGGGCCATAAGCACAAGCCTGGGCAGCAGAGCACATCAGGAAGCTCCCCAGAAATTATCCAAGGGTCAGTCTTTCCCAAGAAAACAGAGCCATTCTGGTGCTAAACAAGCCTGTGAGACCTGGGGTTCTCCACCACCATCCAGCTCCAAACCAGAAGCAAGCTGCCTGCATCTTTAAGTTGATGTTTAGCACCAGGGCACAGGAAGATGAAGCCCTTCAGGGATGAAGGACTTGCTGCAAGGGCTAGGACTGACAACAGAAGGTTCCCTTCATTCTGAAGGAAGTTGATCCATTCACTTTTCACAAGCAGCTGGACCAGCTTCTTGTGACACAATCAGAAGCCTCTGACAAGGGAGCTCCAACAAAGCGGAGCTGTTTCCTACCACACAAATCCCTTCCTCTACTGCAGCATCCTGCACCTGACACGTCTGCCAGGAGCTGCAGCAACAGCTGGTTTGCAGGAATAAGAAGTACGTTACCAAAAACACCGGCAGCATTTCCCCTGGGATAAAAGAGGAGAGCTGGGATGTCAGTTAACTGAAGAGGCTCATCCTAACTGAAAGCCAGCTGCTGTTCTCTACATGCCAAAGAACGCAGGGATAGAGCCATGACAGAAGCACCATCCTGTGTGGCCAGAGCATTGCCACAAATTTGAAGTCAACCAGTTCAATCAGTTTAAGTCCTTTCCCCTCTCAGAGGGACCTGCTTCTGCCCCAGGGAAGCTCCACAGGCTGCTACACCTGGTTGGCACAGACCCAAGCAGCAAACCCCCCCATCTCAACCATGCTGGTGTCGAGGAGCCGCGTTTCTCAGGAAGAATCATTGGGAATAGCATGGATGTGCCAGAGGAAGGAGGGAGGGAAGTCGGCCCCTGCAGCAAGCACAAATAAGGTAGCTAGAAAAGACTGTAAAACACTCCCCATTTGCAGCATACACCCACAGACTCATTAAATGGAAAGCAGACATCCCTTTTCTGACAGAGCCCTGCAAGACCCCTCAAGAAAATTTATCACGGTAGACACAAAACTGCCTCTCCCAACCACCATCAAAATTACAGTAATTTCAAAAGTCAAAAACCAATGAGAGCAGCAAGAAGTGTTTTGCTTATTCACAAGACAAACAGCTCCCAGCACACAAAGGAATCTACAGGGCTGAAAAACAAGTAATGAGGCCATGGCTGTTATCAACAAAAATTCTGATATGTGGAGAATCTAGAGAAATTCACATCTAGCTCCTGTAACCCAAGCGTCACACTTTCCAATTTCTATGTAGTGTTTTACTATGATGTTTGAACTGCACTTTGTTGGGTATGCTGGAACATACTACTCTTTCTTGCAGATAACTCTGTGACCTCCTTTCCACTTCCCCTGCTGGTCAAATTATTTCTCTGATGAGCTACAGGGCATTTTAACAGCTTGCACTGAAGGTCCCCTCTCAGGGCACAAGCAGCACTTTGCACCATTACGCACAGCACCTGTTCCACTGTGCAGCTAGAAAACCTAAAAAGGTCTTTTATTAACTATTTCCTAACTATTTCCTCCCAACTCATCAAAAACAGCTCGGCCATCCTCTCCCTTTTTTAATAAAAGTATCTTAGGCATTGCTTTAAGTCCTTAGAAGTTAAGGGAACACACAGGGGAAAAAAAATCTCTGCTGTGCATAAAGCACTGTCGCAATTACAGTGTGCAGCCAGGGCACTAGGAGGCACTAATTCCAGGGCCATATGGCTGCAGAATCTCATTACACTGATCCGCTTACAGTGATTTCCTAACTGACAAGCAAACATTTTTGGTCACCTTGAGCAGTGGGAAGCTAACTCGGTCACAGCTGGGGCACGCTGATTCCCATGGGAGCCGCCAAAAAGCAGGTGGGATTAGAGCAATATAGATCAGAAGAACACCTCAGCAGGAGACTCGTGTGCTCCTCTTGGACCTGGAATCTCATGGACATCCAGGGCAAGCCAAAGATCTTTATCTCCCTTCAAAAAAAAAAAAAAATACAGTTTTCCCTGGATTAGGGCAGCTGTCAGTAGATGAGTGGAGTCCTCCTAGGACAAGAGGCAGGACTTGCTGCCACACCTGCAGGATTTACTTTATCTAACTCTTGACCTCTGCAGCTAAGCATCTGTCAGCAAGAACAAGAGTCATTGGTGTCCTGCTAGGCGCCCATTTGGCAAGATCAGCCAACAGACTCCCCAAGTTACCAACCTGCAACTGTCAGGATGATAAAGCGCAACTGGATGCATGATTTCCGCTCAACTGTAAAGTTATCCTTTTTTTTTTTGTGTGTGTGTGTCAAAATGCCTAGGGAAACAAGTGAAGCTAAGAGCCTTCCTGTGGAACCCATCAGAGCATAGCTCTTGGCTTAAGGAATTTCACTCAGGGAATAAAATGAAAGAGACAGGTAAATACAAGGATAGGTGAGACTGCAGCCTTGGGATAACTGTGCTCAACACCACGGGCAGATCTGTCAGGTCACCATTCCCTCATGCTCCTAAACACCATGACCACCTTAACACCAGCCAGACTGTACTGTGACAAGTGGGGACAGCTCCAGCCTCTGTGCATGCAGCACGCAAGCACTGGAGAACCAAATGCCAGGACAGAGGGGAACAAGCTTTTCTCCTCTGTATTGATGTGTTCCGCTACTAACACTAGGTAACCTTCGGTGTGACACTAATCCTGATCCTAGCTGGGGTGCAGAGCCCTTCCCCTTCCCCTTCCTCTCCTCTACTCCCCCCATTCCCTCTCCTAAGGGACCACTGGGCATGGACCGTGCAGGACAGCAGCCGCATCCCTGCGGCAGAACCTCCGGGAGGGCTTCCTTCCCTCCGGAGCAGCTGGACACGTTCCCTCAGGGAAGCGACCCTTATTGTTGCCATCCATAATTTAAAACAGATAAAGGAGAGCCAGAAAGACACCGGGATAAAAATAGGCTCTGTAAGAATCATGAGGACAGTCGAAACTCATGGCTTTTGGACACATGCCAAGTGCTAGCTGATCTCAACATCTCACGTTACAGAGTACAGTAAACGCATTTGCAATGTTTTATTTCTGTCTCTCAAACGCCTAATATCTGTTACTACACAGAGTGGGGCCATTGATTTTTTTCCTGCCTGCGTATCCGGCTGCACTGAGGTTCGTTCAGTTACTCTGAGCAGTAGGGGAAAAAAAAACCCTCTTCTATATAAACTCTTTTGAGCACCAAGACTTCGCTGAGGCCCTCTCAGCTGACAGATAGTCATCTAACACACTCCTCTCGCATCCCCTAAGGCAACATCCTAAGCAACTGAGGATAAAACAAACCCCACAACAGGAGCCTAAGAGGAGTTATTCCCTACAGCTGAAGGGAGCATGGCAATTGGGAAGGACATTCCTATTTTTTTCCTCCAGGACAGGACTGCTGTCAGCAACCACAGGGATCACATCAGATTTAAGACGCAAGCAAGATACAGTCTACAGGGTGATCTCCTAAATTACGCCACAGGACAGCAGGAAGACTAAAGGGAGGGATAATCCGCAGGCCCACGCGTTGGCAGCAGGTCCCCTCCATTTAGGCCTGCCCCAAGCGCCGCCTCACCACACGCGTGCGCTTCAGCCACCTCCTTCCCCCACAGCCACCGCCTCATGTCAGCCTCTCCTACCTCCCCTCCAGGAGGTCTCATAGCAGGTAAATTAAACTGCTCCGACTTAGC